AAAAAAGCAACCTCCGCTTCTTTAGGCGGTTCCACTTTTTGCACCTTGACTAATTTTGGTTTCGTTTCCACAATCTCATAGGTGTAGATAGCTCCAAACCCCGCACGACATGATGGACAGCTTAGCCGTAACTAAAGTAAAATGAGATTCAAAGTGAGCAGCAGTATTAAGTTGATCCACGTACCTTTGACCACTCCGTCAAACAATCTAAGTCGAAACGATGCTGACAGTTTTCAGGCCTTGAAAAACCTTCATCCATAGGGCAGAGACAGATAGGGCAAACATCATCGGCTCCCTCCGAGCTATACCTATGTGAAGGGCCTGGCGAACACATAGTGCGTTCTAAAGCCTCGTTCAAGTGTTATGGTGCTTTTACTTGATGCCTTAAACCTGATTTCTATTAATATATCACCACAAATTGACATTATTAGAAATGCACGCGGTAGTGACACCATTAAAAAGAAACACGAATTAAGTTACATATTTATTTTGAAGAGAAAAAGTTTGATTTAATCATTTCGGAGTAATATAGTAGAACAAATGAATATTATAGAATAGAGCAAATTTTCACTAAACATGTTGAAAATCTATTAGCCAAAAATGCCAAACTAGTGGTTTGTCGAGGCCCGTATCAGATTTAAGATTATAATGCGCATTACTCCTCATGGAAATAAAATAAAAATTAATACCCAAAAATCTTACAGCGCATTGAGACGTTCCAATTTGATATACGACTTGTAATTTACCGATTTTTACCAGCTTCTTAAATTATAGGTTCGCAGCACCTCAACTAACTCACACCCCCAATGATGTAATGCTGTCCGCGAGACTTATAAGAATGCAACTTTCTTTGCATACAAAACAAAACTTGCTCGTTCTCAAAAAGGAACCCAACCTGGTGCATCGCGCCCTGACAGAAAAAAAGAGAGTATGAGACCGTAAAGATTTGAAGACAGCCGATAGATTGTGATGAAAAAGAAGCATATAAATATAATCAGCTAAGAAATAACATCCGAAGGCATTCATAAAAATAAAGAACGTCAAGATCTTGCGACAAAAAAATGATCGCACGAAAGACGAAAATAACAGAGATGATATATACATGTCTTACAGCTGTGGACAATCATCATCGGCAAGATGTGAAAAGCATTCTTCGAAGCCAAGACTGCTTAGCCCGGATTATTGTCATTCAGGTGTTTTGCAAAGTCCTGACGATAATTTGCAAAGGCTCTAGTGAATAGGGGGTTCGAATTCGACAAAAACGCTAAAAACAATGTTTAAGAATGGATTATGGAGAATATTCGATGAAAACAACTCACAAGCGGGCAAATTTTGCAAACCGTACGGTTGTTGATTGAGTGCTTGAGGTGCAGGTGACACTTGAGGGCTAGCCGTCTCTACCTTCAGTTGTGAAGCTTGTGTGGTAGCCGTCTGCGCCTGAGGTTTTGGTGGTTCGACCGCATACTGATTGAAAACTAGCGGATTAGCAATCGGTGGAGTACCTCTAAAAGAAATTGATACTGAACGTAGGGGAGAAATTTTTTTTACCGTTCTAAATAGACACTCAGTGATTAATCATATCAAGATGAATAATTTCTCTGCAAAACGTTTTATACGTGGCAGAATCCACTGGTAAAAAGAGGCATGCAGTGTATTTTTAAACTTCGCAAAATCTAGATATATAATTTTAAAAAAATTTGTAGAAATAAAAATGTGTAAATTAGGTATTGCGTACCTGGTGACGGAAGCAGTGGCGGCGCTAAACCCAGGAACTGCCGGTGTAGCCGTTGGTAGTAGCCCCTAAAAAGTCGTAGAAATCATGCGAAAGCATAGTGAGACTGCCGAAGTATTTTTGGCTCACCTGAACCTGACCAAGAGCTTGCTGCAAATATGCTGCATTTATACCAGCAGGAAGAT